CCAGCTCCCCCAAAGCTAAGCTCAGACCATCCAATTTGTTGAAGATAAATGCGAAGCAGCCAACCGAAACGACCAGCAATCCAACCAAGCAAGAGACCGTCACCAAAGGTTGCCACGAGCCATCGACAGAGAAACGAGCCCCAGCCAAATCATTGCCCGGCAAAACCAACGACCAACAGCAAATATAAGCTGTAACTCCAATGAATTAGTGGCATAGATAAATAGATTTCATTTTTATATCCAAAAGAACCCTAAATTTTATGAACGCATAGTTTTTATTGCTCTATTAAAATTCACTTGGGCTGTTTGATAAGACTACTGTAAAACACATTTAATTTTGCAAAAGTTGATTCCCCAGGATCACAACTTTTATTAGGCTTCGTTTGGGATGACTTTTTTACTACTTCTTAAAGTAGCTTTTTAGTATGAAAATTAAAAGAAGCAAGAAAACCGTTTGAAACGAAGCCTTAGTCTTTAAATTCATTTGGTTTATTGGTATGTCTAAGGTTTCGTTTGGGACAACTTTCTTACTATTTTTTTTATCTCGTAACCACAATTTTTGTTGGCCATTATTTTTTCGTTGCTTTGAGAAAAATTTGTATGAGGAAACTAGTTTCAACAACAGCTTTAAAATTTTATTTTCTTTACAATAATTTTACTAAGCAGCAAGAAAACTATCTCAAATGAAATCTCGTTTGGGGGAGCTTTCTTGCTGCTTTTTAGTATAAAAAATTATAGTTACCTATTTTTGTATTGAAAAGTGAGTTTAAAAAGCATTAAAAATATTGTCTTAAACGAAGCTTAAGCCTACACCTTCACCCTACTATTCTTGTATAATAGTTGATTCCCCATAAGCTGAGGAAGGAGATAAATAATAGTTGTTCCATCTTTATTTTAATTGAATGCTACTGATTATCATCATAATATATTACTTAAATGCACTCTTCCTTCTTAAAGCATTGATGCGGTGAGATCATGGTGCATTTTTGGCATTAAACAAAGCTAGCCTTTGCATGCTTTTAATTGTAGCTATATGATCAGTAATAAATATCTTCATAAATAAATATGTTAACACAATCGCTTATCTGTTGCTAGCTAAGCTTTTTAGTTTCAGGAGCATCTCTTTCCTGTGGCATTTATTGCAAGTAATTGAGCAATTGAAGTGCATGTTCCTCCCTTCATGTAGTTTACTAATGCTTTGATGACTAAAATCTTAATAATATTGAATGAATTCTTCTTCTTTTTTTGCTCCATCTTCTAGTTTCTTGTTCTTTTAGCCATGCCTTGTTCTATTTGTGTACTTAGGCTTCGGTTGGGATGGCTTTCTTACTGTTTCTTAAAGTAGTTTTCTAGTAAAAAATTAAGAAGTAGTGAGAAAGTTGTCCCAAACGAAGCCTTAGTGTTATAGAGTGGTTATATAAATGATGAATTTAGTAGTGGTGTCATGAGTGTTATAAAATTTCATTAATGCAAATAGACTATATGTATGTGGAGAAGACTAGATGTCATCTCTATAAATAAAATAATATTAATTTTTTTTTTGTGATGATGTTTTGATTTTGCTGTGTGTTAGAAAATTTGTGGTAGTAGAGTGAGTATTTTATATCTTAGCATTTTATAGAGATTCATACATGCATGGATCAAAGAAACTTATAAGAGGTCCCGCATTCGAAGTTTGACTACCAATCAAGAGGTCCCACATTCACCTCGATCTGTTAGTTGAAAGTTTTGACTACTAATCAAGAGGTCCCGCATTCGAAGCTCATGTATATGATGTATATGTGAATTTTTCTTAATTAATCTTAATGTCCTCAATAAAATCAACATTGAAAATCATAATTAACCTAACATTAGCATAAATGCCGCTACTTATGAGCCAAATTAAGGCTTTGTAAAATTGCTATAGAGAAATCAGTTTTTTTAAGTTGTTGTATAAAGCAATTTCTTTGTACAATTTTTTTAAAAAATTTATAAAAAAATACTTTCTAAATAAAAATTATGATTATGATAACAAGAACAATAAAAAATTTTTCTCAAATAAAGTCCAAACAAATTAACATAAAAATATTTTTAGAATAAAGTGGTTGCTATAGAAGATCATAAGAGGCCAAACTCCCTTCCATTATAGCTAGCAAGGTTATTTTATCACCAATGTGTTGCGCACCAACCCTTCAGAGCCACAGCAGATAGAAAACATAACCTCCCACTAATTACTATCTTAAGTACTCTGCATCGCCTTAAACATAACTTAATTGTCATTAATAGGGGTTTAGGGCGCAGGATTAGGTAATTAGGACGGAGTGTAGTTATGTCGGGAAAATGGAACAGTTGGCATGAGCCTACGTGTGCCATATAATTCAAGTACTGGGTCCCACGCGCAGTGGACGTAGAATTTAATTAGAAAGCTTGATTAAGCGAGCTTTGTTATTATTGTTATAATTAATGAGAAGTCGCAAGTGCATGCTGTACGGATAATGTTGCCAATGTGTAGCGGATAATGAGCTAAATAAGGATTCTTTTGAAAAAAAAATTACAAAATTTTAAAGCAGCTATTTCAGTACAATAATTTTTAAATTTAATTTTTTTTTTTTACAAAAAAATTACTTTAAAAATGAGTAAAAAAATTATTTCAAACAAAGTCGTACGGCACATCTTTTCTTATTGTTTTTAAGTAATTTGTAAGCATAAAAAATATTTTTGTACAAGTAAATTATTTTAGAAAGTAGTAAGAAAGATACTTCAAATGAAGCTTTAGACATGAATGTGTGTGGAGTTGTCCAAAGTTGGAGTGTAAGGCTTTATTTGAGATAGCTTTCTTACTACTTCTTAAAGTAGATTTCTCGTACAAAAATTAAAAATTTTATACTAAAAAGCTACTTTAAGAAGCAATAAGAAAGACATCCAAAATAAAGCCTATTGCTTCGTTTAGTTCCCCCGACGCTTTCTCATTATGAAATGGAGGTATTATAATGGAGAATTAGATTTTTTTTTTCTTCTCAAATCGACAAAAATTCGGAGGTATACCAAAAGTAATTTTGAAAAAGTGGCATAAACAAATATCAAAATAGTAAAATTTCACCGATTAAAATCGGAAACAGATAAATTTACGGGCAACCAAATGTGGCCTAAGTAATTTGAGTTTAGCTTGAACCACTTTAGATTTGAGCCTAAGCTTAATTAAGAAAACTTGGGTTTCCTACGAATGAATAAATGCTTGAGCTTAATTAATTAATTGAATTCGAGCTCAAGTTTAATTCTACGTGTTGGCACATTTATTAAGAAAGAGAGATCATTCACATTCAATTACTTATTATACTAATTGATTAAAAAAATAAGAAATCACTTGAAATACGAAAAAGATAAATTATTTTTAAAAATTTTATAGTAAAATACTAAAATCATTTATTCTAATATATTCTAAGTATGTTTCATATTAATAAAATTTAAACGAGCCAACTCAAGAGCTAATGAGTAGAGTTGGGCCTAGATCAAATTTGATTTGTTAGCTCATCAAACTTAGCTAACAAGTCATTTGTTGAGCTGAATATGAACTAACCCACCAATTAACTTTTGACTCAATTAACCCCCTTACAAGAAACAAGAGGTCTTAAGTGTGACTAGCAAAGTAGCTCAACCTCATGACATTTACAACCATTTGGTAGGATTCTAAGACAATAGGACTCATCTAACTAAAAAATTATTCAATTCAATCGTGGGTAGTGAAAAAA